AATTTGTCTGATGGTTTATGAGGTCATGATTATGGTACTTTTTGACCATACACATGCATTATTTTAGTGTGAGCTAACCAACTTGTAAGTGACTATCGGTAGTTATCTGAAGAACTAATTCCTTACAATAATCAAAAGAACCAAGTGCAAATGGTATGGCCTGATGCATGCGCTATAATCTACATAATAAATAGTACCAAATTAAGGGTAAATAAGTTAAGTAGATCCGTCCTAAGATATGCACACCTCACCCTTGTTCACAAAATTGTTACTTAAGAAAAAACAAATAGAACTCAATTTGAGCCCATGGTTTGATATAGAGAGAGAAAAAGAAAGCTAAGAGCTCACTTTACCAGCATTTAGTTTTAAGAGGCTCACTTTTAACAGGATTTAGTTGGCTTCATCCTGCACACGTGCAGGTGCTTTAATTGAGTTTTCTTTTCTGACAAAGCTCTCTAGTTAAACTAGTCTTTTGAGGATCATTCAGAAAAAGCTCATCTAAAATTTGTAAAATGCTAGCCTAACTCTTGAGACTGAAAATGCAGCTTCCACTGACATAAAAAAACAAACTGCACTAACAGACAAAATATTTTGTTAGCTAGGTTAAACAGACATGGTTAAGCATGACAACAGCAAGGCTAATTAGTTATTTGTTGTTAATAATGCGCTTTGGTTAAATTTTTCATATCATTGCTGCCTATGATGACACGATCTAACTAAGCAATCACAATCAAACTTAGCAATCACAAACCTCTTTTTTAGGGGAAAAGAAAGGCTAACAATCAGACCAAGAAAATGGACAGATCTGATCATGCTTTTGTGATCAGGGAGACGAATGAGCTACTGTCCAGAAAGAGGGGTTTTACATTTCAGAAGATTCATAGAGATCAAAATAAAGTTAGTCATGAATTAGCAAATATGGCTTGAACTCAGAAGATGTCTAATTTTTGGTTTGGCCATCTTGTAAATTTATTATTCTTAAATGCAAAGATACACAACTCTCCTGCATATTCGAGAAAAAAAAGATAATTAAAAATTTGTCAGACAGAGGATCCTTCAGGATTAATCTGAGGTTCATAATTAATGAAGTCCCTTTTTCCCTGAAAAAAAAACAATCAAATGGCAGTCAATTTTTGACTTTTTATTTATATATTAAGAGAAAACAAGCCTGAAGTTATATAGCATTGGTACGGCATTTGTTTCGTGCAAAGCTAGATGTCTAAAGTGTGATGCAATGAACTGCAAAATTTTCTTTCATCAAAGAAAGCATGATTGTACAATGCTAAGAGATATGAAGATATCTCATAGCCAAAAGGAGAATAAATGCCTTATTGCTCGACTATTCTCCAAATATTGCCCCATATTTCCTACTGTTCATTATTATCTGTATAATTGTCAAAGACTAGCATTTATTATAGGCTTGTATCAGTGCCATTCAGTGAAAAAGGGGTTCTTGCCTGTGCCAGAAATATCAGGGCTTGCAATCTTGCATAGTTGGAAGGATAAACTATTCCATTCTTGTGCCACCTACTCTATTTATTTGGCAAATGGTTTTATCAGTCTGTGTTGGCATTCCATATGGAATGAATGCTCCTCATCTGAATGAAGTGCTAGACTCCAAACTTCTCTGATGCAAACCTAAGCTTCATGATTGATAGATGGTTCAGTTTGCTTTTATTTTGATTCCCTCATTAAGATCCACATGTGTTCCATTTGTGCTATGAAAATGCAGAATGGAGAGCTTACCATGTTAGTGGGGGGCAACCCTGTGTGATTGTGTAAATGTTGATTACAAGATTGGACAACTTTTGAAGTTGTAAAGATTTCTTCCTTTGTCTTATGATTACTGAACAATCTGCTGGCACACTTTCATATTGAATAAAATTGTCCGAGAAATCGAAAGAGTGACAGCACAACACCAGATGCACATTTTTTTTGGTTTTTATGTAATTCTTTTTAGGCCTATTTTTGTACTAATTTTGAAAGCATGACAAAAGCATCTAGGATACCAACTCAGGATTCCACAAACCAAAAGGTTAGTAGTTTTCTCTTTTCAGGCCGGTCCATTTCATCCTTTAGATCAGATAAGACATTGGACTGAGGTAATTGCTGATCTTTTGGTGGGCAGCCTGCTGAAAAATCTCTGATCAGGAGCTCCATGGAGATTTTAGGATTTCAGATATGACGATGAACCGCACCATACCAGTTCATGTTGTGGCAAAATATTGTTTTTAATCTTTTCTTTTCCCTCTACTTGCAGAGATAATATTTTCCATGGATGAAGCTAGCCTAATGATCTTATATGAATTTTATGTGAACAATTAATTTGTTCTTCTTGGAAACATATTCACATGAACCATCAAAATACCATAAAAACAATTAAATACTTATTTGCCATTTTAATTAGTATAAATTTGTATCCTAGTATGGGATCAAAATTTGTCAGGAAACCTATAATTTTTATGTCAATAATTGAGCTAAGGTGGCTAGTGGTCTATCTGTCAACAACCACCAAGTAGTGTTCCTGTCATTCATCCTCATCGCCTAACAAACTAAAACAGAACAATCCTTCTTCTAAGTGATAAATCTATAATAACAAGAAGGCTTAATAAAAAAATACTTATGGCTTGTACCCTTATCTCACTTTGGAAAGATGTCACAAAACATTTTTTTAGTCTCCTCTCTTTGCTATCTAGAGAAAGGCTAGGTGTCTGCTCAACTTTATAGTACCTAAGATACAATGTTTCCTAAAAAGGTGAATGGAGCAAAAACAAAGAGTAAGTGCCACAGGCAAGGATAGATGATCGCGAATCGGTTCGATGCAAAGCATGCATTGATTTATTTATATTGATTTGAATTATTAGATTTATTGGACTAACCATTACAGTTTGACTGTGACACTAGATTACTGCAAAATCTCCCTTCTTAATAAATTGGCATGTGAAGTGTTTGTGTTTAGAAAAATGTTACCCCCTCCGTATTTTAATGTATGACGTCGTTGAGTTTTTTTTATCAACGTTTGTCCAATCATCTTATTGAAAAGATTTATGTAATTATCATTTATTTTATTGTGACTTGATTTATCATCAAATGTTTTTTAAGCATGATATAAATATTTTTATATTTGCAAAAAATTTTGAATAAGACAAATGGTCAAACATTGGTAAAAAAAGTCAACGGCATTATGCATTAAAATATAGAGGGAGTATATATGGAAGCATGATTTCTTAAGCAGATTCATGCTAGAGCAATATATACATCTTTGTTCATTGGATCGACAGCGAAGTAGGTACAATCAGTCTAAGATATGATTGTAAACTAAACTGCCCTCAGCCCCTCATAGGATCACCTAAGCCTCCCAGCATAGCCTATGAACAAGATAATATATTAAAGATTATAGATGATTTTTTTAACGTAAAGATTATAGATGATGTTCAATGTCCTTTCATATTTTTTTTATCTGTTGAGAACTTGAAATCGTAGTAGCCAACCAATGAAGCTATGAGCTGGGCATTGACTATTTCACGCATCAATATTTATAAGAATTGCTATTCATCATTAGATCTAGTTGCTGCCAAGTAAAAAGTATTTCATCATCCTGTAGATTCAACTTCATGTAGTACTGTCAAACATGGAAGAAATTTCCCCATGATGATGGAGATAGAGCAAAAGATCGACATATGGTGATGTTGATGCAATCTTTTATGTGTATTTGTCTTATGTGTACAAGGTTTTTAGATTTGTCTCAGAGATGTAATGTAGCACCGAAAGATAATTCACTGATAACCCCTCCCACTCAGACACAAACAGCCCAAAATTTTCTTTTGTTTGGAAAAAAAAAACATACAGCACAAAGGTTATGTGCCATCCTTAGTATTTTCTCTTCAACCAATCCAATGCCCATAACTTTCCAGATATTAGAGGAATATTCTTGTCTAATGATCATATTAATATAATTTCTGAAGGTATGGGCATTAGATTATTCCTCTAATAGTCGTATGATTGTCAGAGTAAACAATGTTTTCTTGATGAGAATAGCATATGCCATCCATTTGACAGTTCTTGGAAGAAAAACTTAGGTATCTGTCGTATCAGGTAGCATAATGACATATATTATTCATGCTGCATTTTTTTCTTGCATGATGCTCTTCTGAAATCTGTGACTAGTTTGATGCCGAACTTGCTGAACTGTCTGACATCCATGACCGGCTTCATTGTTCTTCTCTTCTGTTTGTCGGATTAATGAACCGTTTTGGTCAGATCTACATGATTAATTGCCATTATAGTGATACAGTCTACCAATGCTGTTTTCATTTCCATATAGGGTAATTGCATGCTAAGCCTATGGCAATGCCGTGCTTTAATGGAATTTCCTTTTCCTTCAGAATTCAGAGAATCAGAGATCACTGACAAATTGACAACAATCATGAACAGACAGGCGATTCTGAAACAAATCAGATTGACACTTCAGAAACAATCTCATTTGCTTTCGACACAATATTGGTACTCATTCAGTCTCATTGGTACGGCACTGCTCTGTCTAGTATCCGGTTTGTCGACAAATCGGGCCAAAACGTACAGAAGCAAATGTCTTCATAACATGGTCAGTTAGTGATGATGTGATACTTTGTGCAAGCAATGCTATGAATTCTTTTTCCGATTTCAAGTTTTCAAAGCCTCAAACTAAAGCCTAATTTACTGCAAGCTTTCTGTCAGTGGCTGTAAATTGATGGCAAACCAGAAACCTGACTGGGATCATTTCTTGACATGAAAGAAAGCTCAAAGCGGTTCTTTTTTCGAAAGCGAGTAAAAGCAATATCTTCCTAGGATACTTATCTAGAGGCCCTTTTCTTTTCTGATTGACACATTCATACTCCAAATATCACAGTAACATCATCAGAAATTATTGTCACTCAGTACTATGATTTGTTCTCTCTTACTGTGTGGATATCTGGAAATTTCGACAACGAAACGATCTTTTGAATAAAGGAAACTAAAGCTGATAGTTTAAATCACTCATACAAGACATTTGAAGTCCCAGGGGGATGACAAAATTCAAGATGAATCCCATCCTAACCTAACAGTGTTTCTGCGGGATTATTCTGATGAGACTAAGATGAAGCCAAAATGGAGATGGAACAGGCCGGCTGGTGACCGGTCAGACACAGGGCCATGCGCCCATGATCACTATACATCATCTAACCCAATTGTCTGGTTCTTCACCAAAGGAATAAAAAGCACATAGGCTTTTGATACTATGCTACAATGCGTTTATCTGTCGCCCTGCATAAACTGTAGGTGTTATCGGTTTATGAATACGGCATGCCAATGTGGAGAAAGTGCTCTGGACTTCATTCAAAATGCTGATCTTTACATGGATACTTAAGAACTCTCTGGCATATGAACTATGGAATTGTTTACATGCCATCCACACAACAGAGAAATCCACCGAAGACAGAAGAAGAAGATAAGCATCCAAGAAATTAAATCTGTATGGATACTTAAGAACTCTCTGACATATGAACTATGGAATTGTTTACATGCCATCCACACAACAGCAAGAAATCCACCGAAGACAGAAGAAGAAGAGAAGCATCCAAGAAATTAAATCTGTTTGGAAGCAGTTCAATAGTGTGGATTAACTTCAACAAACACCATCTACCTTGCAAACGAAATTACGGGTAACACTTGTTTAAATTTTTCAGTTTTAACTCCTCCAATATCTCACTTGAATTAGTTCTTGAACTGCACATGTAAATAGTACCAGTAAATGATCCTCTCCACTATATTCAGGGGTGAAAAAAATAAACCTGAAAAGTAATCTAACAAACATACAAGTCAGGGGCACTCATGCATACAAACATGGAAAGAAGGAACTGAATGTGTTTAGCATGATTGGGACAGACGGTCTTCTTGAAAGTAAACGAATGCATAAACACAATGGACACGTGTCCACTAGCCTTTTTGTCTGTGAAATTGCATGTTGGAAATTGATAACTGGATTAAAATGCAGACAAGTAATCTGATCTGACCAGCCTTGATCGAACTAATCCAATTACTTTTTTTTTTGCCAGGATGACCGAAGGAGGTCATCCGAATGTTATTAAGATAAACGAAAAAAAAGAGTTTCAAGAAAGATTTTCATCGACAGCTGTCTGTCGATAGGCCCGGTCCTGTCAATTTAGTGGCCTGGAGTGAAGCTAGAAAAATGGGCCCTAATAATATAACGATGTTTTTAATAAATGTAATGGATAAAAAAATTATTATCAAACAAGTTATATATCTTACCTTAAAAATTTCTTCTAACATGTAGTGATGCGAAGTCATCGACGATGGCATCAATATCAATTTCATCTAATAGTTTCTTCTCTATGCATAAAGTTGCCAAACCATTTAATCTTTCTTGAGACATTACAGACCTCAAATAATTCTTCAATAATTTCAACTTTGAAAAGGTTATTTCAGCTGAGGCCACAGTAACAGGCATAGTGAATAGGATCCGATAAGCGATGGAAATATTAGGATAACAATCCGCTTCTGTGACAAATTCAAAAATCTCCATAGCAGACATTGGCCTATCTGGCAAAGTAAACTGTATAACACCTAATTCAGAAATTAGGTCATTTATATCAACATCCGAGGAACCATCCAAAGAGAAAGTTTGTGCAAATTTAGTGCATTGGTCTTTTAGATCAGCTGCATCCAATGACTTCAAGGATGTTGAATTCATTAGAAATCCGAATATTCCATTGAATGACTGGAGTTCTTGAAATCTGCTTTTCAATGAACTAATTGCCATATCAACCATAACTAAAAAATAATTGACTTCAAAATCCTTCTCAGCTTGCAAAATAGCTTCATTGTACTCAGTTTCATCAAATTGTTTCTTCCTTTGAGACTGACGCTCTACTGGGAAGGATGGCTCTACTCCCATTTCAAGTGCAATTTCTGTGGCTGCAACCAGACTATCAGCAAACCCATTATTTCTATAGCTCTGAAAGTAACTCACCATACCTTCTATATGCTGTAAGGTAGAATCAATGCACATGGATGGTGATTGCAACTTCTTACTGACAATATTTACAGAATATAGAATGTCATGCCAAATAACCATTCCAAGTATGAACTCAAAGCTGCCAAGCACGTCATATAAATTTTTTGCATCACTCCTGTCCTTTGGTTCAGTATCTCTACCCTCACTTAGCCACAACAAAGCTGACCTTAGTTGAGGAGCTTGATATCTAATAGCCCTGACACTTTTGATGCGACTCTCCCAACGAGTATTGCTCAATGATTTCACAGTCAAATCTTTAACATGGTCAAGCAAAACATTCCATCTTTTGGTAGAACTTGAAAATAATACATATATCCTCTGCACAATTCCAAAAAATGAAATAGCTTTTCTGCATGATTTAGCCATATCACAAAGAGTGAGATTAAGACCATAGCAAGCACATGGCATATACAAAGCTCTTGGATTTATATCAAGCAAACGCTTTTGTACCCCCTTATGTTTTCCTTTCATATTAGAGCCATCGTCGTAACCTTGACCTCTAATATCATCAACATTAAGGCCAAATGACTTGATGGAGTCAACTAATACATTGAAAAGACCCGAGCCAGATGTGTCATCCACCTTCAAGAAACCAATAAAGTACTCCCCAACTTTTATTTTCCCATCAGACATATGAACACATCGAACCAACAAACTCATTTGTTCTTGGTGACTCACATCTGGGGTACAGTCAAGGATAACCGAGAAATATTTGCTCGCTTTAACAATCTTTATGATGGAGCTTGTAATGCTAGAAGCCATAAGAGAACTCAACTCATTTTGAATTTTATGACTAAGATAATGATATTGCAGCTCTTTGTTTTGAATGTGCCTAAGGTGGTCTTGCATTACCAAGTCAAATTCTGCAACCATCTCACAACAAGCTAAGAAATTACCATTCACATCATTGTAAAGTTGATCACTAGATCCTCTAAAAGCTAGACTGCGTTTACCAAGAAACTTGATAATGGCAACTAGTCTGAATAGAACTTGTCTTATGCATTCTTTCTCCTTCGTGATTTGATGCTGCAACTCCTTATCAATTGTTTCATGTTTGCTTAATCTAACTCTCAATTCATTCCAAGAGTTCATGTTGGTCATATGGTCCACACTAACTTCATGCTCTTTTAGTCTCTCACTAACATGCCTCCAATCTCTAAACCCATCATGCCCCAATGAACTCTTGCGGTTGCTAGAATCGAACAGCTTACAACAAAAGCAAAACACTTTGTCAACACTTTTTGAATAGACCAACCATTTCCTATCACGTACCTCTCCATTGCTCATTTTTCTAGAATAATGAGTGTACGAAAAATGTCTTGTGTTGACATCCAAAGGAAACACAATATTTCCTTCTCTAATAGGCCCTTTCTCCACTAATATGTCCCTTGCTTTGTTATCAAGATTATCCCAATTTACTGGATCATACATATCAAATGTAAAAATTGGTTCATCATCAACACGAGTAGACTCCGTCGTAGGAGAATTAAATATGGGCTCATGATCACTCACATTATTATCATCCGTGTTGATGCCGACATTATCCTCTATAGGGCCTTGATCTTCTGGATGCATAGTTTGTTCCTCCACAGCAACAATTGCCCACTCATCAGGATTTCTTGAAGTGCTTGTATTACTCTTAAAAAATTTATTAATAGCTCCTTTTTGCAATTGTATCAAGTCCTCTATCCTTCTCTTCTTTTTTCTTTTCTCACTTCCAGATGCGTGCTTTTTGGGCAACATGATTTCACTGTAAATTTAGAAATAAGTAAGTAATTTATGAAAATCATGTCATACTAGATCCAATTCAGCATTATAATAAAAATGAGTGCTAGTAAATTACCAAACTGAGAACTAGAAAAAATGACTATTCACTGCCCTAGTTGCACAGCTGCACCGTAAGGATCCCTAAATCCTAAATCAAAATTTCAGAAATCAGAAGAGCAGCAATTGGGGAGTAACAATTTACATCCCAAAATTGAAACATATAAACTTAGCATACATCAAAGGGGAGAGCAATTGGGTACCTCCTGGTCTCCTAGAACTGAACGGATAGATAAGAGATTTGCCGCCGGCTGCCACCGAGCACGACGCCGTCGACGTAGCGTGGCTGGGTAGGTTAGGGCACCGTTGTCCGTCGGAACAAGAGACGCGGCTGGAAGGGCGGCGAACAGGCGAAGAGGCGATTGCTATGAGCGAAGGCAAAGCGATCGGACGGAAGGAAAGCCAAATCGACGCATTCTTTTTTCCTGTACGTGTGCCTCTTCCTCTCCTAAGCTAGTGGGCTTTCTAATTTCTATGGGCTATTATGTACAACATATATGGGATTGGGCCCTTTCACTTCGTGGGGCCCTGTGCGGTGGCCCAGCTCGACCCCTAGAGCCGGGCCTGTATGTCGAGAAAGGATATGCACTAAAGTGCGGGGATCCTAATGGCGATCGATCGCCTGGAGATGGGTAGCGATCGATCCCCTCCCCCCTCCCTCCCTCCACCTGGTTTCCTTTTTTGGTACCGCATTACTTTCCTATTTTAGTAAATTTATACACCTAAAGTTTATACACCTCAAGTTTACACATCTAAAGTTTAGAGACCAAAAGTTTATATATCCGATTCAAATTTTGAATTTGAATTCAAATATTTTTTATATATAGTATTTCTATACATCTAAAATTTATATACCTAAAGTTTATAGACCTAAAGTTTACAAGTCAAAAGTTTATATACCCGTTTCAAATTTGAATTTAAATTATATCTGATTCAAATTTGAATTTGAATTCAAATATTTTCTACATATAGTATTTCTATACATCTAAAGTTTATACACCTAAAGTTTATAGATCCAAAGTTTATAAGTCAAAAGTTTACATACCTGATTCAAATTTGAATTTGAATTATATCCGATTCAAATTTGAATTTGGATTCAAATATTTTCTATATATAGTATTTCTATACATCTAAAGTTTATACACCTAAAGTTTATAGACCTAAAGTTTATAAGTCAAAAGTTTACATACCCGATTCAAATTTGAATTTGAATTCAAATTTTTTATATATAGTATTTCTATGAGAAAATCTCTTGTGTACCCCTGAAAGTTCACCTAATCCCTTCTGTACCCCTGAATTTTGCTCAATCTCTTATATACCCCTGAATTTTAATTTGGATCCCTTCCATGCCCTTTCCGCTAGTTGACCGTTAGTTGACCGTTAAATTCTTATGAAAAAGTCTATTTTGCCCTTTGGTATAAAGAAGCATATATATAAATTAATAGAGTATATTGTTGGAGCATAGAAATTTGTTATATGAGACTATTATGTTTATGAGATAGTTATGCACCATATTATTTACGATAAATATACTTGTAGATATGACATAAAAAATTAATACTTATTTATTAAGTTATTAAAAGATTTTTTTTAGCATATGTGTTCTGATAGTAATAAACAAATTTGTTGTATTACTATGAAAACACATATGCTACATAAAAGAACTTTTAATAACTAATAAATAAGTATTAACTTTTTATATCATATGTAAAAATAAACTTGTCACAAATAATATGGTGCATCACATATTCATAAATATAATAATCCTATCCGATAAATTTTTACATTCCAACAATATACTTCATTAATTTATTATGTTTCTTCATAGCAAAGGGCAAAATGGACTTTTTCAAAAGAATTTAACGGTCAACTAGCGGAAAGGGCATGGAAGGGATCCAAACTAAAATTCAGGGGTATGTAGGGGATTGAGTAAAATTCAGGGGTATAGAAGGGATTATGTGAACTTTCATGGGTACATAGGGGATTTTCTCTATTTCTATACATAAATTTTTCTAACTTTTGTTTTTTTTAAATTTTTTTTGTGGTTTACTATAGTAGGAAGAGAAGAAGGGGAGGAGGAAGGAGGGAGAGGAGGGGAGGAGTGTATCGAGTAGTATAGGGGAGGGGGCGGGCGGGTGATGGATGGGTGGACGGGGAGCGATCACCCGCCCATTAGCATTTCCGCTAAAGCGCATCCCCCGAAACCACACGCTAACCTCACAAACACGAGCTACAGAGAGGGAAGCCGAACACCGAACCGGACGCTGCTATGCAAGTTCGGTGGCCACCGGTCTTACAACAACAACACCATAGAGCGGAAACTCAAAAAAAATGACTCCTTTCACGAAGGTTGCGACACCAAAAAAATGCCGTCGTCGCTCGTCCAAAGGAACTGGACATGGTTTTCACCTAGAGATCGTCGCCGAGGGAGAAGGGTACCTATACAGTGCCCAATAGGAACCACGCCTGAAGGAGTACCCACTGCTAGGCTTTCGCCTAGGACCCTCTGCACCGAGTCGCCGTGGTCTGTCACCAGCCCAACATCGGAAGCACGTGGCCTCCGCCACACAGGACCAGCCAACTTCTAGTCCTGCCACCAGCAAGGCTACCACTTCGCCCCACCGACAACACCCTCTACCTGCCCACTATTACATGCCAAGGACGAGGCCTGTAATAGTGGAATTGCAAATGAATTGTGGTCTTTGAGCAGTTGAGATGGCATCTGAATTCTTGTGCTACCCACCAGCCATCATCGCCGGCACTGGGTGCCTCTGCTAGCGAACGTAACCATCAGGCCTTGGAAACCCTCGATCCAACCATATATGATCTAATGATCCATTGAACGGTTAATGGAATTTAGCTTTGCATCGCTCTCTCTAGCTATGATCCTATACTGACAAAGTGAAAAACGCTAAAATGGCAAATCCTCACATTTTTTTAATATGCCAGAGCGCTGGGCTGTGTACTCAAAATAACATGTGATTATTCGGAAAATTAGTTCCATTTATAAAATATATTGCAAGGATATGATGGACGGAGCGTTTGATCTCTATGATTTTCCCTTCATCGTATGTTCAGCGACTTTGCCACACCTATGTTCCATATTTGCTTTCGAATTGATTCATCATGCTTTTGGATTAATTTAAGAGTAAAGTCCATTATCGGTCCCTAAACTTGTATCGATGTATCATCCCGGTCCCTAAACTCACAAATCGACCGTTCAGGTTCTCAAACTTGTTCAATTATGTCATCCCGGTCCCTAAATTTACAGATCACTCGTTTAGATCCTCCAACTTATTCAGTTGTGTCACCCCGGTCTCTAGACTTGGATTTGAATATCATCTTGGTCAAATAGGACGGTCTAAAGACTTTCTATTTAAAAATAATTCATAACTTTTTTATGTGAACTCTAATGAAGACAAACTTTATATCAAACTTGTAGCCCTCGACGCGATCTACAACTTTGTAGTTGATTTTTTTTATTTTAAGTCATTTTTTGTCCCAAAATGTAATTTTAAAATTAAAATTTCAAAATATATAAACATGCAACAATATTTTGGGACCCTAAACAGTTTTAATTCAAAAAACTTTTCAACTACAAAGTTGTAGGTTGCGTCGAGGGCTACAATTTTGATATAAAGTTTGTCTTTATTAGAGTTCACATGAAAAAGTTATGAATTATTTTTTAATATAAAGTTTTTAGACTGTCCTGTTTAGGGACCGGGGTGACACAACTGAACAAGTTGGATGTCACACCCCGAAGTTTTCCTCCCAAGTCAAAATGGTAATTTGCAAATGACCCCAAGAAAATGCAGGTAAAATCAGGAGAAAACCCTAAGAAAGTAATGCAAATAATAATCGGACGTGACATGTGGAATTTTTCTTGAGTTCTACATGTCAAAATTCATTAACAGGATTTTTAGTGGAATTTTCAGAGCGCTAGAAATAATTTTAACCAATTAAAATTGAGCAAGCAATATTTTAATTCCAGGGAAAAATCCTTTTTCCTTTTCTTTTTCTTTTTTCCTTTCTTTTTCCTCCTTTTTGTCAAATGGGCCGTCGGCCCGTTTCCCTTTTTCCTTCCCTCCTCCTTGCTGGGCCGGCCGCAGGCCGAGGCCCAGTCCGGCAGCCCAGGCCGCCCGCCGCCTCCTCTCTCGGGGTCGCCGACAGGTGGGGCCCACCTGTCGGACCCGTCTCCCTCCTCCCGCCGATCCCGCTCGCGCCGCCGCGCCCGAAACCGCCGCCGCGCCCACGTCTCCGCCTTCCCCGGGCCACGTCGACCACGCCCGCGCGTGCGCCGCATCCCCCGCGCCCGTTCCCCTCTCTCTCCCGCTCGCGCCCGCGCCCGAGATGGCCGGGATTCGAAAACCGAATCCCGCCTCTCTCTCCTCCCCACTCCCCCACGTCGGCCGGCGAATCCCGCCTCTTCCGGCCACGTCCGGCCCTCTCTCCCCCTATTTAAGCATCGCCGGCACTCCCTCTCACTTTTTCCCCATTTCGCCGACCCCTCCCGAGCTCCCAATCGTCCCCGCGCCGTGCAACCACCCGCCGCCGCCGTTTTGCTACTTCGGCCGCCGCTAGCCGCCGCTAGGCTCGCCGCCGTCTTGCGCCGTCGCCGCCGTTAGATTCGCGGGGTCGAGATCTACCTCGGCCGCCCCTTCCCCGTTGAGGTTCGCCGCCGGAGACCCATCCCCGTCGTGCGCCGGTGAGTGACGCCATGGCCGCCGCCTTCGGCCGGCGCTCTCGCTCTCTCGCGCTCTTCCCTCTCCCTCTAATCCCTCTCCTTTTGTTCGTTAGGAGGTTCCGGAGCTCGTCCCGCCGTCGCCATCGTCCTCCGTCGCCCGCCGTCGTCGACCGTTGTCGGTGAGGCCCTCCTCCTCTTTCTCTCTCTCCCGCACCGTGTAGCCGTGGCACGCCGCTTAGCCGCGTAGCCGCCGCTCCTCCTCTAGCCGCCGCTCTCCGCCGCCGGTCGGTCGCCGTCGGCCGTCGCCTTGCGCCGCTGCCGCATGCGCACCGCCGCCGCGTGAGCGCTGCGCCGCCGGCGCCATGGTCGCCGGTTCGGCTTGCGCCGTGCCCGCGCGTCCGGCCGCGAGCTCCCGCCGCCGTCCGATCTACCCTTGGGTAGATCGGGGCCGTCGGTTCGGCTGCCACGTGGCGCCGCCGCCCCTTCCATCTCCCGTGCCGCTGACAGTGGGCCCGCGCGCCGCCACCCCTTTCTCTCTCTCCCGGGCCGCTGACCGGTGGGTCCCGCATGTCGGCGCCACACCCCTCCGTGCTGACGTCAGCCCTGGTTAATATTGCGCAATAAATGATTTAAGGTTTTTCTTTTATAGTAATAAACACAGTGAATCTTCTAAAATTCATAACTAATTCATCCGAGCTCCGTTTAATCCCATTCAAGTCTCAGTAAATCAAGAAA